TTGAAAATTGTATATAGTAATTTCTACCACATGAGATTCTAATGAAGAATAAAGAGATGTATTTGAATGTATAATTCTGAGTTCTAACCTAAATTAGATAACATGTTAAGAGTTGCCATCATTTAGCAAGAATTGGTTAAATACATTTATTAATACCTTAGTACTCAAATATGTGTCATAATTAGAGACATCTCGGGGGTTGGTTCTTTATTTCAGTTTTATAAATATTTTCATAAAAAGAATCTCTGATTATTAATTCACCACATTGTCAAACAAACAGGATGCAGCTCACATGTAAAGATTTAATAACCTAATTTCTAACTTATTGCCTGTTCAGCTATTAGCATTATTGGAATCTAGACAGGTGCCCAATGTAATAGTCTCCTCTTCTGCATTTTAATGAAATTTCCATGGAGATCTATCACAGTAGGTGAGTATTAGAAGTCTATGTCAGCCTTGACAGGGTGGTTTTATGGCCCCAGTGAATCCTCTGTACTCCCCTAACCCCAGACCAAAGAAGAAACTCCATGGAATCCTAGCTCTTTCTGTCTAACTGCTTAGGGGAGACTTGATGGTAGAGCAATGAAGGAAGGAGTCTCACCAAACTTTACATGACCATAGCTTAGAACTGTGTTATTGAAGTAGAGGAGACCCACCTAGTGCTGAGGGAAACAGCAGTAGATGCCTGGTTTGATTTTATTTTCAGGACCAAGAATAACATTCCCCATCCCTGTTCCCTCTTATTGTCACCCTCCCATCCCCCAGCAGAAAACTCCTTTATTAAGCTACCTGCCTATTTTGTTAGTTTCATAGGTACCACAGGAATAGTACCATAGTCAACAAACTGGTACCACAGTCAACAAACTGGGTACCAAGTTCACTGAAAATCCATTGTAAAGTTATTGTTGGGTACTCTGGATAAGGCCCAGTATATTTAACAGCATATTAATACCATATTTCTCTGTGTAATTTCTATTTCAAGCCAAGGGGAAAGTAATATTTGTTGATTACCTATTACTGCATACATGCTAGGTACTTTGCTGGGCACTTTATAATACAGAATTTATCTTAATTCTCTTTCTCATACGACTATTAGGGATTGGGCCAGGTGTGGTGGATCACACCTATAATCCTAGCACTTTGGGAGACGAAAGCAGGAGGATCCTTTGAGTTCAGGAGTTTGAGACCAGTCTGGGTTTGAGACCCATTTCTATAAAAAAAAAAAAAAAGAAAGAAAGAAAAGAGAGACTATGAGGGATAGTTATTATCTGTATTTTACAAATGATGAAATCAAGGTAATTAAGGTCATGCTGCTAATAATAGAGCTAGTCTTTGAAGCTTAGTTTCTGTGACCCCCAAAGACTATGATCTTTGTACTTACATGAACATTTTAAGATAAAGCTGAATTATTCTACTCATATATTTGTAATAAGTTACTCGGCATCTGAGTTTTTGAAAAATTATAATGTAAATACATTTTAAGATAAGAGATTAAATAACAGACCTATTAAAATAATTTTTACAGTATGTTGTGAAAGAGAACAAATTTCTTTTACAGTGAATTAAATGTGAACTTGGACTTTTTTTGTTATAAAGCACAATTATGATTTGTCATTTATCTATAGGAAAAGAGAAAAGAATCCCATGGATATATTTGACATGGCTAGATATCGGTTGCAAGCACCTGTCAGAAGACAGTCACCTAAGGGGTTAGATGCTTCCACTTTTCAGAACATTCATGATTTTAATGAACTGAAAGATAGAGGTGAGTAGATTGCTATTCTTTTAATGATATGACAAGAGGGTTCTATCCACAGTTAAGTATCTTTAAAGACATCTGTAACCTCCCTCTAAAGTGAAATTTTATTTATGTTATTTTAATTTATGATGAATAAAACTTCTGTATACTCTAGTTCTTCACTTTGTCTGTCTGGTTGATGAAGCTTTAGTTTGACTAAATATTTTCTTTTAGAGAGCCTACAGTTATTAAATCCTTGGGTGGGAGGATAAGATGGTACAGACTAGGGTGAAGAATGGAACAGGGCTTGTAATGGAGGATGGACAGAGGAAGGTGAGCTGATGGTAAAGACTAAGGAGAAGTCAGAGTGAACAGATGAAAAGCAAAGGAATGTGGGATGCTGAAAGCTGAGAAAGTGAGTGTATCAAGGAGAAAGGATTACGTAAGATGAATGCTGGAAAATGTCGGTTCGAGGTCACTGGTGGTGATCTTTAAAAAGATCAGTGGAATAGGAGGGAGCAAGATGGCGGCCAAGTAACAGCTTCTTTGCAACTGGGTGCAGTGAGATTGGGGAGAGAAGACTCCAGGCATCTCTGGTTTGTGAGTTCTGCCCAGAAACATCCCTTTGGGGATACAGGGAGACAGCAAGAGACTTCTGGACTCTAGCAGGACAAAAGCAGTGGAGAAGTGGCAAGTGGTTGCATTCAGTTTGAGGCTGCCACAGCTGTAACTACAATAGCAGCAAGATTGCAGACAGGCTTCCCCTGTTGTTTTGTATTTTTGGACTTAGGTACTCGGTTGAATTACCTTGGGAGAACTTGGGCAAGAGTACGGGTGACTTTAAGTGTTGTCCAGGGTCCAGAACTGAGCCACTGGGCCAGAATGGGGCTAACATTGTTCAGCTGTGAGCTATGTGCGTAGCCATTGTGGGAGAACTGCCCTGCAGGCTCTGCACTCATGGTGATAGAGTGAGGCTTGGTCTGGGAGACTTTGGGTGAGTGATCTAGGGACTGTGAACAGCACCAAACGCTGGGACTGAGACTCCGGGGAAGAGCGGAGCTTTCAGTGTTGACAGTGGAGGGCTGCCTTGCAGCCTTGGCCCTCAGGGGCATAGAGTAAGGCTGGTGTTAGCACACTGGATAAGCTGGCAGCCACTTCAGGAGAAATCCCAGAGACAAGTGCTTTCCTGGGAAACCTTCTGCTTAGCCAAGGTTAATGGTTTAAAGTGTCTTTGAAGTGGACTGAGAAAAGATTCAGGCTCTCAACCCTGTAGGGTTTGAGGTCAAAGAAGTCAGTGGAGGGCTCCAGTCTCCATCTCATACAGCTATCACCATTGTGATTAGCATATCATACCCTAGAAGATCACCTGTTGCCCAGACAATATTCAGCAAGATATATATGCTGCTTTGTTTTTGGTATTGGGATTTTTTTTTTTTAATTTCAACATTTTCCCCCTGGATTTTTTTCCCCTTCTTTCTTCATTTTTCTAGTTTAAAATATAATTTTCCATTATTGCCTTCTTTAATACTAAGAACTTCATTTTTGCTAGTGTTCTGCCCTTGCTATTTGGTTTTTCCCCCAATTTTATCCTGTAAGGTTTTCTATTGATTTTGGTTTGATTTATAGCATTTTTGTCTTTCCTCTCTATTTGGTGGATGTGGGGTACCATGTCTTCTCAGGCTGAAGAAGAGCCGCTGACCTCAAAGGAACCACCCAAACCACCACCTTCAGAGGTTGGGGGTTTGTAAAGTGTGGGTCAAAGTACCTTACTGTACACCTTTATTTTTGGATGCAGTTGTCATTGTTGTTTAGCTGGCCCAGGCCGAGTTTGAACCTACAACCCTCGGTGTATGAGGCTGGTGTGCTAACCACTTGGGCTATGGGCACCCAACCCGTACACTTTTGTGAATCCTGTCTCCCTCTTTCTGTGCCTCTCTTCTTTTTCTGTTCCCTTTTACCCCCACTCCTTTCTCTTTTTTCTTTTTCTTTAGTTCTTTTTTTCCTTCTTGCTCTTCAATCTTCTCATCCTTTTAGTCCTGTACTAAAAGGACTCATTGAAGCCTTAGGCCAGAGGCATGGTAACTTAAAGAGCAAGAGGAAGTGAAAAGAAAATTGGGGCAAGGAAAAATAAAAGAAAACACTCATGAGGAAGAATCAGCAGAAAAATCCTGGCAACATAAAAAACCAGTCCAGAGCAAACCCCCCCCCCTCCACCAAAGGACCATGCTGAAGATTCCACCTATAAAAAAAATGTTAGAAATGACAGAAGGGGAATTTAGAATACAGATGATGAAAACAATGAAGGAAATGATGGAAATAATGAAGGAAACTGCTGATAAAGTGGAAAATAACCAAAAGGAAATCCAAAAACAGAATCAAATAAGAGATGAACAATATGAAGAATATAGAAAGGATATAGCTGAGCTGAAGGAACTGAAGCAGTCAATTAGGGAACTTAAAGATGCAATAGTAAGTAACAACCACAGATTAGACCATGCAGAAGAAAGAATCTCAGAGGTAGAGGACAAAGCTCTTGAGATAATTCAGATAGTTAAAGAGGCAGAAAAGAAGGGAGAAGAGCAGAACATTCACTGACAGAATTATGGGACTTTATGAAGCGTTCAAACATACGAGTTCTAGGTATCCCAGAAGGGGAAGAAGAATGCCCCAGGGAAATGGAAGCCATACTAGAGAATATTATAAATAAAAATTTCCCAAATATCACCAAATATTAATATGGGGAGAGGGGAGAGGGAGAAGAGGGAAGGGGGGAGGGTGATTGGTGGGATCACACCTATGGTTCATCCTATAAGGGTACATGTGAATCTCTATAAATGTAGAATATAAATGTCTTAACACAATAAC